CGTGTGGTGACTCGTGTGATGACTCATGTGACGACTCAGGTGACGACTCGTGTGGTGACTCGGGTGATGACTCGTGTGGTGACTCGTGTGGTGACTCGTGTGATGACTCATGTGGTGGCTCGTATTATGACTTGTGTGATGACTCATGTAGTGACTCGTGATGACTTTTGAGATGACTCGTGTGATGACTCGTGTAATGAATGACTCGTGTGAAGACTCGTGTGATGAACCGTGTGGTGACCCGTTTGATAACTCGTGTGATGACTTGTGTGATGACTTGTGTGAAGACCCGTGTGGTGACTCGTGTAATGACTAGTGTGGTGACTCGTGTGATGACTCGTGTGATGACTCATATGGTGACTCGTGTGATCACTCGTGTATTGGATCGTATGATGAATTGTGTGGTGACTCGTGTGGTAACTCATGTGATGACTCTTGAGATGACTCGTGTGATGACTCGTGTGATGACTCGTGTGAAGACTCGTGTGATGAACCGTGTGAAGACCCGTTTGATGACTCGTGTGATGACTCGTGTGAAGACTCGTATGATGACCCGTGTGATGACTCGTGTGATGACTCGTGTGATGACTTGTGTGGTGACTCGTGTGATGACTCGTGTGATGACCCGTGTGGTGATCCATGTGATGACTCGTGTGATGACTCGTGTGATGACTCAATCGATGACTCGACCGATGAACTTTGTAGAACAACTCGCAGTAAGTCAAACGATTTAATCAAATTCAAAAGTCAGTCTATATGTTCATGATAGCCATCTAGGCTTCGACTTGTTAATGTAGAATACATTTTTGATACTAGTAGACCAGTAGAAGTAGTATTTTTCAAAGTCTTTTTAACCCTCGTATATATAAAGACAATCAATAGACAACTATTCATACGTACATATTTTTAAATACAAAGTGCAACACGTGATTTGATGACAGTTTACTGAGATGTAAATTCAGTATTTGTAATATTGGAAATCGAGTTACGGTTCACTTTTCTCTACTTGTTAGGGCTAAATTAGAAGCATTCAATCTTTCACCAGAAATATTTGCATAATTTTTTAGCATCTGTACACTTGTAATAACATTATTTACATAAGTATTATTTAAAAAGTGATATTTCTTGTCGATTTTACTGTACGGAAAAGTTGTAATGAACTACTTACTTGCCGTGTTTGTTACGTTAGTTACAATTTCTTCAGTTGTACAAGTGACAATCCCAACTGCAAAAATAATGCCAGCGATAACCGAAACAGTTTTTGATGTAGCAGCAATGGCAGTGGAGGCATTCTTGCACCAAATGCAACGTTCCCGCTTCAACGTTTTGTTACAAAAACAAAAACAAAATAAAATTAAAGGGCGGTAGTCGTCGCGCTGCATATGTGTTGATATACATATATTTGTCCGCAATCCAATGCGCTTTTGCAATGAAATCACAAGTGTTGCACTAATTACCACCGATTATTCCTTCAATACCTTTCAAACACCAAAAAATGACCTAATTAAAGCTTATGCTAGTTGTTTTGCGCAACAGTCAAAGCCGCCATCTTTGTTTATATTAGACCCATATCTCGCGCATGCGTGGCGGACGACCACCGCCCTTTAAATTAGGAAAAATCGATAAGAGCACTTATATTATACTAATTGTTCGATCACAACTCTGGGAAGGAAATTGGAAGAACATATTCAGACATGATCATTTCAGAATGGAGAAGTGGAAATACGAGTAGTAACAGCCACAGTTCAGTGAGTGAAATTTCACAACACCAACAAATAACTGATAACCATCGCAAATATATTTGGAAATATGTCCTGAATATATGACAATTAAATTCCAATTAATAAATAAAAATAATTAAAGATAATAACAATTATTGTGTTCTTGGCTTTTGCTGTGTATAACATTTATGTAAAACAAATCAAATATGGCAACAATATTTGACTTTGATCATGTAAGTTATGTTTAAGATACTTTGTATGGGTTACACTTAGACTTACGAGTTCTTTCAGCCCCTTTTTAAAGTATTTCCATCTGTCAACAAAGAATGAATATAGTTTAATACTTGTATCAGTTATAGTAAGAACGTGAAATGATTGATGTGTGCTCCACGTAAATGAATGTTAACGAGTTTTGTTCATATGACACATGGCATAATTCACTTCTTCGGTCACCAACACGTTGCTCACTAATACACACTGACACTTCAGCAATCAGCTGTAGCAACGTTGCCCATATTTAAAAAAAATAATGCTATGTGTCTTACTATGTTAATGGGTTCAAGTTATTAGCGCCCTGACTATTTAGTCAACAAATGTTTTATCCAGTGGACGCTATTGCCACGTTTTGGTATAGTTTGCAAAATGATTTTTTATAGTTCGCTTTCCTGATGTTGATACAAAATTACAAATCAAAAATTAAAGCAATATCTGAAAATAACTGTATGGTAACAAATATTGATGATATTTAATGACATTTTAACAAAATATCTGTGCTGAATTTTAGGCGGGAAATGTTTTGTAGTAAAAAGGGTAGCTTGTGGATAGGTCAGTAACAGTGATGTATCGGTGAACCGGAAATAGATCGTCATGAAAACATTGAACCATGTCATACTCCTTTGCTAACTAATCTTGGGAGAAAGGACATTTTGGTTCAATAGTAAGCCTGATCGAAATAAAATCTACCATCACGTGTTTTACATGTATATGGCTGGCGGAGGTGCCTGAATAATTTGCACTTCAGTCGATGGTTTAAACATGTGTGTAAGCATATAATTGTTATGCCGGGTCATTCCAATTTCATGTACTCACATACTTCCCGCATTGTCAGTGATATCCTCCAGTGAAGATGCAGCATTCGTCTCGCCTTCCTCCGTAATGATGAGTATGCTTATACAAAAAATGAGTAAAAAAATAATCTCCGTATCGAAAAGAAATACCGTCTGTATGCAAATTCGTAGGACTATCAAATGTCAAACTCCCACGTCTCCCCATAAATAAGCAGGTGAAATGATGCACTTCTGAATTCGCTTGAATTCGTGCTTTACAACACTAACAGCAAGTAATACACTCGTCGAATGTGAGAATGAGGTAAACATGTTTAAACAAAACATTGAAACTTCCGTCAAATAAAGTATAAACAAAGGTTTTGCATAATGCAGTGTATAGATAATTGAACAGTGCAATCAAACTGTCTGTCTTGACACGTTTTACTGAAATGCCATAATGCAACTGTTTACAGTTTGCGACTGCCATTATGCTTCGTTAGTTATTAAATAAAAATTGTATTTATTTTAATATACATTATATATAATTATTATACATCTGTCACCGTAACGACATAAGTTACAGCGTTCCGTAATTTTGCGACATTGCACTGGGTATTTTCATCCTGCCATTTTATGAAACGCGAATTCCAAATATAGAAGAATTGAGGGAGTAAGCATCTTCTAATAACAAAAACAAACATGGCTGCCCCAAGGGTTTGACCGGACTCCACACAAAGAAGTTCGCTAAATCTATTCTAAATGTTTTGGATTTTGACATTCCCATGATGCACTCCCGGGATGAAAAGATGTATAATACTCAGATGTATACATTCAGGTAGTACGCCGTCACATCGACACCCGCTACACGTCGGTCGATACACCGCTGTACTGTCTTCGTACATACTTCACAGTATCCTCGTAATAACCTCATAATATATACAGCTCATACAATATTAAAAAAATATATACAATTACAAAATTGTTTATATAGATATGGTCGAGTCATGATTCAAATGGCCTAACTTAATATGAACATTTCTGCTTACAACTGATTTTTAATCTGTGTGGACACCGCTTCTTTGTTAGTTCAAGAGCTAAATCAGTAGGATAAACAGGTAATGTCAATAGAGTAGCCAAGATGTTAAAATGGATTAAGGTTTGTCTCTAGCTCATGTCTCTTGGTTCATTTAGTGTACTTTTTTGAATTGGATTCAGCATCCCTCAAAACCTAATATTATATTAACGTAAATAATCCGTTGAGTTTTTAACGTTGTCCTCGTAAAGGGGTGTTGGCTGTTCCCTTTCTGGACTCCCTCCCCCCGCGTGTACTACCAACTCTTCCTA